TATGGCAGGATCACTAGGAAAGCTGAAAATTTACAAAAAAAAAAAAAGCATGGTCCTATTTATATGAGAGTTTAGAGATCTACTCTAATTTATGTCATTATTCAGAAAGGCTTGAAATGCGACAAGGAATCCGGTGGGCCACTCTTGGTGTTGATGGGAAGGATTGTCAGTTGCTGGTTCTGCTGCTCCTCCTCCTTTTCATGCCACCTCCTCATCCCCGGGACTGAGTACAGTAATGCCCCAACAAGGGCACATTGACATTCTGCTGAAGCAGGGCCAATGTTAGACTATTTTTCGCCCTCGGCAACACCAGCTTTTTGCACCCCCTAAAAAAAAAATTTCACCTGTAGTTCTACTTCACCCTTCCTAGCACACATCCTCTCCTCCAAATCCCCCCTCCTAGCGTATATGCCCCCCAATCCTCCCACAAATCCGCCTAAATCCTTCCTCATAGCACAACCCCCTCCAAATTACCCTTCACAGCACAAATACCCATCTCCTAGCCCAATCCCCCCTTCTAGCACAAATCCCCCCCAATCCTTCCTCCTAGCACAACCCCCCACCATACCCCCTTCTAGCACAATTCCCCCCCCCATCCCCCTCTCTAAGCACAATCCCCCCCCAATCCCTTCTCTTAACACAAATCCCCCCAATCCTTCCTCCTAACACAACCCACCCCCAATCCCCCCTTCTAGCACAAATCTACCCCAATCCTTCCTCCTAGCACAACCCCCCCCCATCCCCCCTTCTAGCACAAATCCCCCCCCAATCCTTCCTCCTAACACAACCCACCCCAATCCCCCCTTCTAGCACAAATCCCCCCCCCAATCCTTCCTCCTAGCACAACCTCCCATCCCACCTTCTAGCACAATTCCCCCTCCATCCCCCTCTCTAAGCACAACATCCTTAATCCCCTCTCTTAACACAAATCCCCCCAATCCTTCCTCCAAGCACAGCCCCTCCCCAATTCCTCCTTCTAGCACGAACCACCCCCTCAATCCTTCCTCCTAACACCTCCCACCCCCAATCCCCTCTCCTAGCACATATCCCCCTAAACATTTCCTCATAGCACAACCCCCTCCAAATTACCCTTCTAGCACAAATCCCCCCCAATCCTTCTTCCTAGCACAACCCCCCATCCCCCCTTCTAGCACAATCCCCCCCCCCCAATCCCCCTGCCTAAGAACAACCCCCCCCCCAATCCCCTCTCCTAGCACAAATCCCCCCAACCTCCCCTCAATCCTTCCTCCTAACACAACCCACCCCACACCCCCAATCCCCTCTCCTAGCACAAATCTCCCCAGTCTACTCTCCTAGCACAAATCCCCCCCCCCCACAATCCCCCCTCCCAGCACCAATCCTCTACCTTCAATCTTCCCACCTAGGACAAATTCCCACAAATCCCTCCTCTAGCTAAAAACCCCTCCAGATTACCCTTCCCAGCATAAAATCCTCCTACCTTACTCAAATACCCTCCCCCCTTTTAGCACAAATCCCCCCAATCCTTCCTCCTAGTACAGCCCCCCCCCCAATCCTCCCTTCTAGCACAACCCCCCCAACAATCCTTCCTCCTAGAACAACCCCCCCCCCCCCCCCATCCCCTCTCCTAGCACAAATCCCCCAGTCCACTCTCCTAGCACAAATACCCCCCCCCCAAAGCCCCCCTCCCAGCACCAATCCTCTACCTTCAATCTTCCCACCTAGGACACATTCCCACAGATCCCTCCTCTAACTAAATCCCCTCCAGATTACCCTTTCAAGCATAAGATCCTCCCACCTTACCCAAATACCACCCCCCGCCTTTAGCACAAATCATCCCCAATCCCCCCACACCCCTCCTCGATCCGGCCATGGCAGAGAGTAGGGAGTTCAGCGGCCGTGGCTGCCCCCGAGTTTGCCCAGTGGTAGTAGCAGCTCTGGGCGGAGGTTCCAATATCCGAGCTTCTGCCAGAGCCGCCTTGTCCATCTTGTGAGCGGTAGCTGCTGCTCCCTTAGCTGCCATTCCCTGTCCTCTACCTAGAAATCTGGAATGATTGACAGATGAAAGTTCTGCAAGCTCTGATGACCTCACTTCTCATAAAGTCCTCCAACTTTTCAGCATTGTTGGAACTTATTTGTCTGATCTGGTCCGGTATGATTAATCTGGCCGGTGCGAAGTTCGGCGAGACGCTCGCGTTGCTTAGCATGCAGGAACGTCGCGTGTTCTCTGACATCCCCTGAAAGGATATATTTATGTATTCCCAGCCTGAGAACATTGAATCCGAGATTGCTTCATCCCAGAGCCTTCTATACATGAAACATGAGCCCACCACCATGGATCTAGGCCGGGAATATGCAATGAGAAGGAACTCGCAGACAGCTCAGAACATCGAACATCTGCAGCTATTAAACACATTACCGAACAAAGGTCCTGGCTCCATAGAAGAGGCCGAGCTGTAGAGACTGCTAGCACTTAGTAATGAGGACAGATTGGAAGGAGAGGTGTAAGGTCGGCCGATGGTGACCAGGAAAGGTCTCGGCTGCCAGGTGGGAGAAGAAGACTCCAAAGAACTTCATGTAAATATTTAGTATTTAGTATTCCTTCAACGGTCATGAAATCAATTTTTATTTCAGCCGAGAATCCCTTTGGTGGAACTTTACCTGAGTCTGTTTTTAATTTTTTTTGTTTGTTTTTTGTTTGTTTTTGTTCGTTTGGATGCAATGATCCTCCATAACCCAAAATGACCCAAGGTCAAGGCTTCACTAAGTGGACTCTCTAGTTACTCTGGAAAAAATGCCCCAAAGAGAGATGGTAAGCCCACCCAAGAAGTGTAGGCTGACAACGGGTTCACAGGTGGGTACCACAGGCAGATCAGGTCTGCGAGTAGGATCAGGACTCACAGAAATAGGCTGATGACCCCAGGTGAGAGTAGATGGTGGGGAATTCCCAAGAGTGTGCAGTCTAAGGGACAGCTGTGTTTACTAGATATGATGGAGGAGATCATTTTTACTGCATACTTCCTCCTGGTCTTGACCCCTAGGTTCACCCCACTCAAGGCCAGGGACTCGGAGGCAGAAGGGTGTTAGGAAGTAGGTCTGGTACAGGAAGTCCAGAGGACAGAGCAGTTTGTGGACACAATAGGGAAGGTAGAGGTCGGAGTTCAGGTCTGGCAGTGGGCTTGAGTAACCAGGAACAAAGCCAAGGGTCAGGGCAGGTAGAAGATTCAGATAGCCAGGAACTAATCCAAAGAAAGCAGGTAGGCAGCAGACTTGAATAGCCAGGAACTAAGCCAAGGGTCAGGACAGGTAGGACACTTGGATAACCAAGAGCAAAGCCAAGGGTCAAGACAGTTAGCATGTAAAAGGGGCTTCTAACTGGACAGAATTGGTGCCAAGAGCACAAGTCCCTATCCCTGTTCCTATCCTGCTAGAACATCATCCCTCCTGCAGCCTGGGATGAGTCAGCCTGGGAGTGAGGCAGGAGTTCACCTCAGAACAGGCTGGGAGGTTCTACAGGTCAGAGCTTCTGGAGCCCTCCCACCTTTCTAGAAAGTGGAGAACTTTCTTTAAGAGGGGAGGAGGCCCAGATATGCATGTTTTAGGGACCTTGGCCAATCCCCTAGCAGGAGGTTGAGCATGGTGACCAGGGAACCCCCCAAATATGAGACTGGGGAGTTGCGTGGAAGATGGGCTGAGAGGAAGGCTGGAGTGTGGAGTCTGGGAAGGGTCCCCAGGAAGGAGAGCCTACCTAGAGGCTGGATGCTGGAAGGGAGGATCTCCACTGCCTAAAGTCTCCTAGGGAGGACATCCTGAGCAGCAGGGAAGAAGCAAGAGCAGCGAAAGGCGTGAAAGCAGCCACCAACCCACCATGCTGAAAGGCAAGGACAGTGTGAGTACTCCTACACTCCCTGGGCCAGATAAGGGGAGAAGGCGGTAAGGTGCCACACCCAACTAGTCCTCATCCGGGACTGCCTAACTGCAAGCTTCTGGGACCTCTTGCTCAGGGATACCCACAGTACAGCTGGTTGGAGAGGTGTATTCATCCAGGGTCTGAGGAGGTACACCAAAAAAAGGGACTACAGCCCTCCGTAAAGGGACACTGCTCCATTTTTGCTAGTCCACATTTTTGTACATAGTTGCTGAGAAGTTCGTCCTCAAGTTCCTTGGACATCCCAAATACCCTTCAACCCCATCCAAGTTTTTAACCCCTAAATAAGAACAACTAAAAATCACCTCAAGAACTGTTTAGTGACTCCGAGGGTACAAGTGTGGGAAATGCTCGTTGCCTTGCCTGGCTGTGCAGAGCATTTGGGGACCAAGATGCTTAAGAAGCTCCAAAAATTGAGAACGTTTTCAAAAAGCAAAATGTGAACACAGCCTTGATCATTATATTTTGTGATTTCTTTTTTTCCCTGTTGAAGGGATGGGGGGGTGAAGTGGGGGGGGGGGGGGGGGGGGGGGGGTATGTCTAATCCTTCAACACCGACACAGACCTGGGGAATCAGTTCAGTTTATTACCAATTTATTATAACTTCTGGCCATTTTCTTCATGTTTTTAAGGCCAGCGCTTCAGTTTAAGCATGCCGTTTTATGATGAAAGTGTTGCTGTTTGTGTGTTAAGCAGTACAGGTATATCTTGGAGGAAGAGATTTCCTTACAGCTCAGATGAAACAAGCTGGGTGATGAGTACAGAGAATGAGATACTTCCCAGATCAAAGCCTCTGCGCTGTCAGATGAGACCTCTTTTATATGAGGCTGCAGACTCCTCCGACTGAGGATGCATACAGGATCATTATACGAGTGTTTCACATTCAGGGGCCCTAAAATGGATACATACACTATATTGCCAAAAGTATTGGGCCAGCCCTCCAAATCATGTGATTCAGGTGTTCCAATCCCCTCCATATCATGTGATTCAGGTGTTCCAATCCCCTCTCAATCATGTGATTCAGGTGTTCCAATCCCCTCCCAAGAATGTGATTCAGGTGTTCCAATCCCCTCCCAGTCATGTGATTCAGGTGTTCCAATCCCCTCCATATCATGTGATTCAGGTGTTCCAATCCCCTCCAAATCATGTGATTCAG